AACTGGATGCTCCGACTTGCCGTAGAGTCCTTGTAGCCATGAGAGGTGTGTCCATGTAGATGAGCAAATAAATCTGCATCTTAAGTGGCGTGTGGCGTTAACTTAACGTCGGTCGGCGTGTGGCGTTATTTTAACGCGTGGTGGCGTCTGCCGTTAACTTATCGCCTAACGGCGCTTATTTAACGCCTGGCGGCGTTATGAAAACGGCGTTTTAATATCGATACGGCGGTGGAAAGCGTGCGAATTATGACCCATATGGCTTTCCATAGTAGCTACTGCGGATGCAGGTTTACCTAACAGCACCCGTGCAGGACTCTGCTTTAAACTGCTTTGCGTCTCTCCGTCAGATAACCTCACGTGCATGATGCGCCATTTACGGGGGCTTATTTAAAATGAAAACTCATTCTCTGCCAGCAGGAGGCGCTTTTAGAGTGATACAACTGGTAATGTATATCGAAATATCGGAAATGTGTTTAAAAATCATATCACCGTTATTGAAAAAAAATTATATCGCGATACATATTGATATCGAATTATTGTCCAGCCCTATCCACGCGACAAAATAATAAGTGGATTTATAAAAAATGACCCTGTTCAAAAGTTTACATACCCTTGAATATTAATACAGCGTGTCATTTCCTGGATGATCCACGACTGTTTTTCTGTTTTGTGATAGTTGCTCATGAGTCCCTTGTTTGTCTTGAACAGTTAAACTGCCTGCTGTTCTTCAGAAAAATCCTCCAGCTCCTGCAGATTCTTCAGTTTTCCAGCATCTTCTGCATATCTGTACCCTTTCCAGCAGTGACTGTGTGATTTTGAGATCCATCTTTTCACACCGAGGACAATCGAGGGACTCAAACACAACTATTACAAAAGGCCAAAACATTGACTGATGCCCAAGTAGGAAACAGTGCATTAAGAGCAAACTTTTTGAACAGGATGATCAGGGTAAATTGTCCTTATTTTGTCTTCTGGGACACATGTATGTATTTATGTTGCATCTGAAGTGCAGTACATAATGAAAAGACATGATCTTTAATCAAAATAAGAAAAATGTACACATCATCATCCCGTTTAAAAGTTTTCACCCCCCGGCTCTTAATGCACTGTTTCCTTCTTGGGCATCAGTCAATGTTTTGACCTTTTGTAATAGTTGTGTTTGAGTCCCTCGATTGTCCTCGGTGTGAAAAGATGGATCTCAAAATCACACAGTCACTGCTGGAAAGGGTACAGATATGCAGAAGATGCTGGAAAACTGAAGAATCTGCAGGAGCTGGAGGATTTTTCTGAAGAACAGCAGACAGTTTAACTGTTCAAGACAAACAAGGGACTCATGAGCAACTATCACAAAACAGAAAAACAGTCGTGGATCATCCAGGAAATGACACGCTGTATTAATATTCAAGGGTATGTAAACTTTTGAACAGGGTCATTTTTAGAAATTCACTTATTATTTTGTCTTGTGGAGTATATACAAACATCTGTTATGTGAAACAGCTTATTCAAGACCGTACTAAATCAAAAAAATAACATGCAATTTCCATGATCCCTCTTATTCTGTGAAAATTATCAACATTTTGCATATTCTTCAAGGGGTGTGTAAACTTATGAGCACTAAAGAGATGGTTCACCTAAAAAATGAAAATTAATTTATATTTTTGTATCATGCAATTCCATACCAAATCTTTCTGTGAAACAAAAATATATTTTTTTTCTTTAACAAACCATAAGGTAGCTCCATTTTTTATTTTTGCCAGGGATGAACCTCTGAGGGATAGAACTACAGTGTGTTAAATGGATTGTTCTGTAGTTTAACAGCATGCCAAATGTTCACTTGAAAATTACAGTAAACAAAAACAGGTCTGAAAGTTGTGATTTTTGAAAATGACACATGATCTAGAAACTTTACACAGTGTGTGCCATTAAGTCTGTAAGTCTATCCCTCATGGCCTTGTTTTCATACTCGTAAAATTCAATGTATCATCATGAAAGTCAATGGTAACCAAAACTGTTCAGAAAAATATCTTCTTTCTTCCCACAAAAGAAAGTAAGTCATACAGGCTTGGCATGACTTCAAGGTGAGTAAATGATGAGAGATTTGTGATGTTTTGGTGGCCTAACTCGTTTACTCTGTGAATATCTACAATAGGCTTGCACGCTAAGAGGAACTGATCAATCCACACACAGTCTTAGAGGAACTACATTGGTATTCATTTAGGTTCAGACTCAGGTTTCACAACACTGTGAAACACGACAGGCGATCGTAAACCATTACATACACACCTACTCTTGACCTGATAACAGTGTATTTTCAGTGATAATTAATTACTTCACTGCTTCCCACGAATGGAACGTGTGTGTGCTGCATATCAGTTTGTCCACTCCCGTTCTTGTCCTCTCTGTATCTGATGCAGGTCTATTCATTATTGATCAGTTAATTGATTGCTCATAAAATAGAGTGATCTCATTTCTACAGACACACCGTCTGGTCACTTGCAACAGGAACACAAGCTGTTTTGTGACGAATTTCTGTTTTTATCATTATGACTGGCTGATCAAACTACTTCACCAGCATTGAAAGGAACAGTTTAAAGTGCTACCGCTAAACGTTCCCGAGAATGAGATCATAAAGTCACTTACCCAGAGAAACCACAGCCACACTCTCAGGCAAAAAGTGCAGCTTGAATTTGATCAGCAGGTGCACCAATACAATACAGATACCTGAGAAAAAAAAACAAATATACATATAGAACACTGACATAAAAACCTTATGCATAGTTTCCTACAAAAACGGTTTCCACAATTATAGTTACTGCAATAATACTGTGATATCTGGGTAGTAGCACCGAAGTCAGAAAATAAAATCAATATTTATTACACTATTCAAATTAATGTACCATTGTATTAATATAACAAGAAGTAAAGCACTACAATAATCATCTTAAAATTATATGTAAATGTACATTTAGATAAATATATAGGGAAAAAACACAGTTAAAAAGTTATCATTATAAAACACTATAAAAACGCGACAAAATACTATAGAACTCATTATAATCAGTGATGCTGTCTACACTGGATGCGAGCGGCGCGACAAAATACTATAGAACTCATTATAATCAGTGATGCTGTCTACACTGGATGCGAGCGGCGCGACAAAATACTATAGAACTCATTATAATCAGTGA